CAGATAGCCCTCGTGTAGCTTTGCGCGAAATCCATAACAAACAAACAGACCAAATAGGCCCTTGTGTATCTTTGTGCTGAAAAAAAAAAGCCAAGAGTTTTATTCACATGCAGTAATATTCGAAAACTCGATGTAGTTTGTAAAAAATAAATAGATGAAATATAACTTTATAGACTACGTAAATAAGTTCACACTTCATTAAAAGAAAAGGTAATGTTTGTTCTGTAATAGATGACATAGTTTTATTTAAAAAGCGATAATGAAACGCGAGTCATAGTATAAAAACTTGGTAACTATCATGAATGGTTCTTAGAAGTGTGGTAACAAACAGAGCAAAATTTATATTTACAGACTATTTATGCACTGATATGAAATATGCAACTTTGATTACTTTGCTATATTTCATTCCCATGAATAAGAAGGGCTGGGCGTGGCCTTGTGATTAGTGCACTGACTGTGGATACAAGGGTGTGTTGTACGCGTTACGTTGCCGCAAATAATCGTTTCTAAACAAATCAAATTGCAAGCAAGATGGGAGAATTTAAATTTATTATTGCTGCACTGCTGCCCTCTCGAGTCAGAGATTATTACTAGAGCTGGGTGAATCATACCCTTAAGCCCCCCCCCCCCCCCCGTCTGCGGGTTTAGATACCCGTGGTGGGCAGAGCACAGATAGCTTATTGTGTAGAGCTGGGTGAATCATACCTTTAAGGGGCCGTGATATAAGTGTATTGTGATATAAGTGACAATCAAATAAAGAGTAATGCAAGGGCTACGGTTGGTGCTGTGGTTGAAAAGCTATCTTCCCTCTAGTTTCATCAGCTCAGGTGAGGGACTAATAGAGCAGATAGCCCTCGTGTAGCTTCCCGCGAATAACGAAACCAAACCCATAAATAGATTATCTTTCTACACACTTATATCTAATTAATTTAGCATCTCAACTTGTATGTATCAATTCTGTGAAGAAAATAATGCGCCCGTTTCATAATTTTCTTAGTCTTGCTATATATATATGTGTGCATGCATGGATTCATAATATAAAAGTTAAGTACAACGCTACATAATGGGCTATCTGTGCTCTGCCCTCCACGGGTATCAAAACCCGTTGGAATTCCACAGACATACCGCTGTGCCACTGGGAAGCTAATATAATGAATGAATTTGAGAATTTGTTTGTTTGAAGTTAAGCACAAAGCTATATAATGGGCCATCTGT